TTAAAACAAACAAATCTAAACCCCCCTTTTTGTTACTACTTTTATAAAAGAAAAGTATTCCTTTCCCTGTGGATACGAACCTTACTGCACTATACTACGTATTTGTGTTGTATTGATTATTTATTTTGAGTGCACCTTACGACGAGTGCACGTCACACTTGTTGGTCCCGGTTGAACTGGATACAGTCTAGAGGGGGGGTGAATAGACTGTATTGGTTTTTAACTTTTTCAAGCTAAGACCAGATTTAACAGAATAGCTTGTTCTGTTGGCAGAACAGACTGGCAGCGGATGGGGTTCTGGTAGGGAGTTCTGTTAGTTTAGCCTCAGAGAAGCAAAGGCAGTAGGCCTTCTGTTAACTCACAAGACAAGTTCTGTTGAACAAAGATACCAAGTCTCTGGAGTTAAGCAGTTCAAATGAAAGCAATAAATAAAATGCAGTAAGTAAATGACACTAGGGCTTTTTATAGTGGTTCAAGGAACAACTTGTTCCTCTAGTCCACTGTTCCACTAAGCTTGTAAAAACGACCGTTTACAACGCCTTAGCCCTATCACTTAAGAAGATCTCCACGTCTTCTTCAAGTGTAGATGTCTCCTTGGATGCATTTCTGGCTTCCTTAAGACTGGTCCTTTCACTGAGCTTTCCCGGAAGTATCACCACTTCACTGCTCCAGGTACTTGGACGTCCTTTTTGTGAAAGAAGAATTTCTGTTGAAAACAGGGGTTCCTCCAACTTGCTTCGTTACAAAAGGTTTGTATATGAAGTGCTTGAAGAGTTGAAGAACGATGAGAACTTTGTTTGAGTTGGAAGTAGGAAGCTTTCCAACGTCTGCCTTCTCTTGTAGAAGATAATGAAGATTTAATCTCAAGGAGGCTTTTTGCGTTTTTTTTTTGCGTTTGAATATTTTGTATGCGCACTGTTGTAGCAAAGTTATTCGGTTGTTCTTCGTAGTGTATCTTTTATACTGAGGTTGTCTTCCCGTTGGAGGAGAAGGAGGACAACTGCATTAAATGAGCGAGCAGTTGACTTGACCAGTAGGACCCGGCAAAGTTGGCGGGTTACTATTTTGGGATAAAGCTATCCTGACATTGCGGCCAATCATCTGCATTTACTCTACAGAGTATGGAAGCCATTAAATGTGCATTTAATGCGCGCACTGTAGCTTTTCCGTTCAAGACTCCTAGCCATTGAAGGAATCTATAGTTGGTTTACCGGCTTGGTGAAATTCTTCTAAGTGTCAGGCCTTCTGGTGTCTTTAGCAGAGAGTTGATCAGAGAAGGTCTTGAGCACTTCTGTTGGAGAAATATCCAACAGAGAATCAGGAGGGTTTCTGTCCGAGTAAAGGCTAACAGAGACCCTGAGGTCTTCTGTTCTGGAGCAAAGAACCAAAGGTCTTCTGTTAAAACAAAGCCTTATCAAGGGTCCTCTGTCAGGGGGTCTTCTGTTCCGGAGGCCATCTGCTCTGGAGGCCTTCTGCTCGTCGATTATACTAAGGAACTTTACAAGGAAAATTCTAATACATGAAATCTAAAGAGGGGTACTCTAAAGTCCTAATTAATATAATGATGGATAGTGTACCCGGGGGGTAGCTTATCCGAGGGGTTATTACTGGGAATAACTTTAGAGAGAAGTCAGAGCAAGTAAATGTAGAGAGAGAGAGAGTGTATTATAAATGTGGAGCGTTTTCAGCGTGGTTACAAATGGGGAAATGGGGTGCTATTTATAGTAGCAATAAATGCCGGGCAGGGACACGTGTCAAGCGCTCATTGGCCGAGGGGTCACCTCAACTGGTTGGCGCTGGCAGCCGCATGTGGCCGCATTTAATGCGGCTGTTGGATGGGACGTCTGTGCAGGGTACGGTGATCTGTACGCATGTGAGGCGGACATCTTGTCGAGTGAGATGCCTTCGGCCACAGAGCAGTAGCCGAAGGCTCCTCCAACCGAGGGCACCTTGGTGCCGAGGGCTCACAGTACCGAGGGCTACTGTTTTCGCCGTTTTCTCCCAGTTTCTTAGTTTGCTTGAGAAACCCGTTCTGTGAGAGTTTAGACCCTTCGGCCAGGGGGGCGAAGGCACCCCTGGCGCATAGTGCGGGCTGCTTGGTACTCTGGGCGCTGTGATTTGGGCCTGTTGGGCCTTTTGGGCCTGTTGGGCCTTCGCTGGTGTAGTAGGAGTCTGTGGGCCGGGGGTTCCTGGGCCATATACTCCATCAGGAGTCCCTCACTCCTTTTGCCGAAAGGTACTTGAGGGAAAAGGAGTAATTTGTGCTTGCCCTTTGATGTTGTCCCGTCGTGATCTCTGAAGTTGGTGAGGAGTTGTTGCTTTTATGTCCCTGCCGAAGGCAGTCCCTCAGTTACCCACATGTCGGGACTTGAGGGCTTGCTTTGTTGTTTGTTGGAATTTCTACATCTTTTGTAATTTAATGATTTTCCCGAGGGGGTCCTCCAGTCCCCCACTCCTTGAGGCACTTGTATAGTGGTGAAAAGGAGTAGAGTAGTTGCGTTGCTGTTGTGGGACGAAGGCTGACGCTTTTCATTTCATTTTGGGGGGATGCCTCGTTAAAAACCTCATTAGGAAAAACCCTGGGGGAAAAAATCCTAATGAGGGAAAAAGAGTGCACCGAATTCCCCCAATGATGAATCGAAAATGTGGAACCTTGGTCAAAAATGGAGAACAACGGTAATGCTGAAGGCTCTTCCTTGTTCTGAGGGCTCATGTGTTGATTAGCCGAAGGCTTGCTGTTGATGTCCTGGGTGCGCCGAAGGGGAGCCCCTCATTCTGGGGATCGAGGGCACGCTGGATGAGGGCTGCAGAGGAGTTGTTACCGGGGGGTCCACTGTTTGTTGATTAGTTGGTGATGAAGATACCCGAGGGCTCCCATTACCTGTGTGCCATGGGTCACCCGTCAATGAGGCAACTCCCCGGGGGCTACCCGGTTTTGCAGTGCTGAGGGGGAATCCCCGAGGGGTGCCCTGATATGAAGCCTTGGGTTTCTGAAGGGGTGATCTCGAAGGCATCTGCTATGGGGCTGTGTGGGGCACAACCCGGGGGCGTCTCTGGGTAAGTGTACCCGGAGGCTATCCTTGATGGAGTGGGGTGAAGTAGAAAACCCGGGGGCTTCCAGAATATAGCCGTTGGAAATATAGCCGTTGGAAATATAGCCGTTGGAATATGTAACATCAGGTTTTTAGCCGTTGGGGGGGGGGGGGGGGGTACACGTGGCGTGTGATGGCTGGCTGTCCGTGAGCGGCATCACTGGTTGGGCGAAGACGCGGCGTGTGATGATGGCGTCCATCCGGAGGCCCAGTTTTCGGGCCCAAGCCCGGGCTCTGGGGTCTATAAATACCCCGGAGCCAGAGCCATTTCTTCCTCATGCGTCCAAAAATCCTTAGCGAAGCTCTGCCAAAAATTCTAGAGAGAGAAACTCAAGCCCTCGGTCATAGCACTTTCAGAGGTTAGTTCTCCCTTCGCTCCTCAACACTTTTTGTAAGTTCCGCCCTCTGGCCTTAGTTTAGGGTTAGGGTTCCGTAGAAATCCTTCGAAACCTTAGGCACATTTTGTGGCAAAGAATGTCGTCCGAGAGCGATTCCCAAAATATCTCGAGGGAGCCCTCGGTTGAGGATGAGGTTGCTTCCGATGTTGAGTCAAGCAGCAGTGCACCCTCGGTTGCCGATGACGAAGCCGTGGCCTTGGAGTTGCAGAAGGCCCTTGCTGCTGAAGTGGAAGCCGAGGGCTTCGAACAGGAGTGCGAAGATGAAGAACTAGCCCTCGCGTATCAGGTGGCGGAGGACGAAGCCCAAAAGGAGGCGATGACGGTCACTGTTGCTGTGCCACCCCCTCGGACTGACTGTGGTGAGCCTAGTACCTCCAGGCCGTTGGACCCGACGCCTCTGAGAATAGCCCCCGGCAAAAAGAAGATGAAGTCGCAGAGGGCTGCCCCCAAGAAGAAGGGTGTTGCCGCCGGTGTTAGGGGGCCTGTTGAAATGCCAGAGGGGTATACCTGGCTAAACACCGAAGCCCTCGATATCAAGTCGAAGACGGACAGGGTTGACTTGTACGTCACGCAGCTGCACGTTGGGCCCTCGGCCGTAGTGGTGGAGCCAGGCGTCGACGATCTGCTGTCGGTGTCAATGGGCCTCCGGTTCCCCCTGCACCCATTTCTCCGGGAGTACATCAGGTTTGTTGGACTCATCCCCTGCCAACTTACCCCCAACAGCCATTCATACATTGCTGGCTTCCTGCACCTGTGTCGGACGAGGGATGTTACCCCAAGCTTGGACCTCTTCTTCCAAAGCTTCAACTTGTGCCGAGGGGGCACGCGAATGCCGAGGGCTTCGCCAATTTACAGCAGGTAGCAAAGTTCAAGCTGTTTACCGAGGCGCCCTCGTCCAATAAGGGCTGGAAAGACAGATGGTGCTACGTCCGGCTGGCCGAGAATCCCTTCCCGAGGGAGCTACGGGACCGCTTTCGGCGCCACGAGAGGGTGGGGAGTGCTGCCCTAGAGAAGGATGGCTTGAAACTCGCCAAGATTCCGGAGGGCAAGACGAAGGTCGTGACGATCAAAGAATGCACTTTTGAGGAAGACTTGCATGCCCTCGGGTTCCAACGGTACCGGTTCATCGGGGAAATAGATGAGAAGTACCCCGTCTTCACTGAGGCCTTCGGGGGAGCACGAGGTAGGCTACGAGGGCCCTTAGTCTCCTACTTAGGCACTTTCATTTTGCATCCCGATAGTTGTTTGTGGTATGAACCCTTCAGGTTAATATTCTCTTTGCTTTGTTTTGCAGGTATGGAGGCTCTCTTCGCAATGAAAAAGAAGAAGGAGAGGGCGCAGGCCCAGAAGAAGGAGAAGACGGAGCCCTCGGGTCAAAAGCCCATTGATGAGGCTTTCCCGAAGGAGACCGCAGAGCCTTCAGTTGCTGCTGCTCCTGCTACTGCGGCCGGGGGGCCGAAGGCTGATGTGGCAGCCAAGAAGAAAAAGGGGGGCAAGGGGGTGGAGCCCCCGATCAAGAAGCAGAAGGTTGCCGGGGGCGCCGTTGAGAAGGCGGCCCCCCTCATAGTACTCGATGATCAGCCCTCCGCTGACCCCCCGGCAATTGATACTCCGATGGCTCAAACAGACCTTCCCCCGGGGAACCTGCCTCGGGAGATTATTCGGCTCTCCCTCGCTCCGGGGGCATCTGTATTGCACGGTTCAGCCGAGCCGATGTCTTTCCTGAGGGGGATTACCTCGATGATGGACAAAGAAGCCCTCTCCACCTATAACGATGACGCCCTCGAAGCCAGGGCCCTTCGATCAGCTCTGACTGTAAGTGTTTTTACTTTGACTTGATCTCAACACTTAGCATAATCCCAATGTCCGTCTGAACCCTCTGTCTGTTATTCAACAGGCTTGTATAACCTTCGGTGAGCAGGCCCGAAGGCGAGAGGAGTGGTGCCGTCATAAGGCCGAGCTAGAGAAGTCCGTGAAGGAGCTGATTCACGACAAGGACGCTGCCCTTCGGGAGGTGTGCAAGTTGGAGGACGCCCTTCGGCAAGCGGAGCTGCGGCTGAAGGAGGCCAGAGATGACGAGATAGCCGAGGGCAGGGCTGAGGCCGAGAGGGTTGCGGCCGAGGAGAGAAAACAAGCTGCCAAGGACGCCGAGAAGGCCAAGGCTGAAGCTGTTGCCAAAGCCCGAGAAGAGGCCATTGCTGGGTTCACCTCCGAGGGCTGGAAGGCCGAGGGCCAGAGCGAGTGGGTGTCCTCTGTGGTGAAGGCCTCGATCGAGGAGTGGGTGAGGGGCCCCGGGCTCGACTGGATGAATGAGAGGGGTGACACCTACTATCAAGCTGGCGAGTTCTTCACCCTGCACCTGGTTTACCGGAGGCTCGCCCGGCATTTTGGCACCTCCCTGGATGAGTTCAACCCCTCGGTGTACGGCCTCCCCCCGTTGCAGCCAGATGTGCGGGTCCCCCTCCCCGAGGGAGAAGAGCGCCCGGTGATTCATGATTCCATGATGATGGGCGTCGATGATGATGCCGAGGACGCCACCGGGACGGAGGTTACCTCGAAGCCATCGGGGGAGGGTGCCCCCTGGAATGATGTTGTTGATGTGTAATATGCGCTTAGAAATCTCTGAACACATTTTGTAATGAATAACTTTGATCCTTCGGCTTCGGCCTGTTTGTAATTTCACACTCACTCTTGTTTTTGATGAATGCATGCTGCCTCCGGGCTCTTCATATTTGAATGCGCCTTATGTTTTGAATGTATGCCTTCTCCTTTGAATGTATGTTTTAGGACTTAGAATGTTTTCTGATTGTGGCTTGCCCCTGGAAGCCTTCGGTAGCTGGGCACCCTCTGATGGATATGCAACCGACGGTTCAGAAGCAATTAGGACTTAGAATTTTTTTCTAAGTGTAGCACAGCATGAGGCCTTCGGGCGTTTGTAGTAACCCGAATCCTAGGACTTAGAAAAATTTCTAAGTGCAGATTTCCCCTTGAGAGCCTTCGGGATATGGCATCCCTTCCTGATGTGTGAACGTTGGACCGAGGGCCCAATGCACAGGACTTAGAGATTTTTTGCAAGTGTAGTATGTCACGTAGCCTTCGGTTACTGTGGAGCCTCAACTGAAATATTGAGTAGGCCGGGGGCCAATTCTTTAGGACTTAGGAAATTTTCTTGAGTGTTGATTCCTTGTGTACTGTAGCCTTCGATTGGTAGGCAGCCTTCGGCAATTAGGTCCCTTGAGATGAGGGTGAAATATGTAGGACTTAGAAAATCTTCTAAGTGTAGAGTTTCCCTTGGGAGCCTTCGGGAGATGGCATCCCTCCTTGATGTATGAGTAGTTGACCGGGGAAAAACATGTAGGACTTAGAAAATATTCTAAGTGTAGATTTTCCCTTGGGAGCCTTCGGGAGATGGCATCCCTCCTTGATGTATGAGTAGTTGACCGGGGAAAAACATGTAGGACTTAGAAAATATTCTAAGTGTAGATTTTCCCTTGGGAGCCTTCGGGAGATGGCATCCCTTCTTGACTCCACATCACTTTGCCAGATGCCCGGGGGCTGCTCATTTAGGACATAATATATTTTTTCAAGTGTTGTTGTATTGCATGACCTTCGGCTACCATATTCCCTTGGCTGTAATGCTGATTGGGCCGGGGGCCCAATCTTTAGGACTTAGAATTTTTTCAAGTGCTGCTTCCTTGTGTAGCCTTCGGGTGATAGGTGCCCTGTGACCCTACATTACTTTGCGTAAATTGATGTTGAATCATGTTGTTGTGAAGAAAGCCAATGAGGAGTGTGTGCCCTCGGCATACACTCTGAAGAGTTGTAGAGTTTGACTCAGCCAGTTGTGTCCCTTGTAATGGGGTAGGGGCCCTCGGTATTAATGTATAACAGCTGCCTTCGGTACATATTTGAAGGTACCGTCTTAGTGTACTTTCGATAGTCCAGTCCCTTTGTATTGTTGAAGCCTTCGGTGTTTGTGTGACCGGAGGTGACCAGGCAGTGGACTTAGCCGTTCCTTGCTGCTATTTGTTCGAGTAGTATCCTTCGGGAAATAGGAGCCTTCAATTACCGGAGGTGTCCCCGTGGGGAGCCCTCGGCTTGTTGTGATCTGTTGGAGTGTACTCTTTGATTTCTCGCTTAGTCTACTCCCCTTCACCCCCTCTTTTTTTTTTGGTTGGTGGTGAAGGGAAGGCATCAAGAAACTTGGTTTCTTGGTAAGGCTGGGCCTATTAGGAGACCATCAGAATACACCAATGGCTCTCCTCCCTCGGGTTAACCTTCCGAGTTCCGAGGGGATCGAGGGACGTTTCCTGGGCACAAGATATGGTGGTCCGTAACCTGCCTCCCCTTGGGGGATGGCGCGGAAAGCGCCTCATTTTTGAAAGTCGTCCCCTCGGCGCTAGACATAGTTCGTGGCCTGCCACACCCTTGGGGTGGTGGCGCGGGGAGCGTTTCGGTTTGGAAGTCGAATCCTGGGCATTTCTCATGCCTGTCATACCCTGGGCGTAGTGACGCGGATAGCGTTCCGTTTTTGAAAGTCGAATCCTGGGCATTTCTCATGCATGTCATACCCTGGGGGTAGTGACGCGGAAAGCGTTTCAAGGAAGGGTTTTCATTTGCACACTAGTTGCAAATGGTCGGGGGCACTACGTGCCGCCGGCACCGATGGTGGCGCCTTCGGTATATGCGTCCTCGTGGGGTACGGCTTTTAGAAACAACACTTGGTGTTAGTTTCGATGTGTAGCCCCCGGTACTTGGTACTGAGGGGTCTTCAAATGAAACACTTGGTGTTTCCCAATAGATGTTTGGAAGTTGATAGGAGAGCATATCCCTGGCACTGGGTACCGAGGGGTCTTCTTTGAAACATTTGGTGTTTTCTCTTCGTTTCGATGTTTGATGATGGAGGTGTACCCTCGGCACTGGGTGCCGAAGGGTCTTCTGTAGGAACACTTGGTGTTCTCATCTTTTCTTTTTTGATGTTGAAGGTGGGGATGTACCCTCGGCACTGGGTGCCGAAGGGAAATGAAACACATGGCGTTCCTTGTTGTTGGTGATAGGAGTTCCCTCCCTCGGCACTTGGTACCGAGGGGTCTTGACTGAAAACACGTGGTGTTTTCACTGTTTGTAGGTGTTGATGGTGTCCGCCCTCGGCACTTGGTGTCAGAGGGGGTTTTTCTCGCGGTGAGGCCGGGGGCCTGTAGTCAGTATGAGGGCTTGATGTCTTGAATGTATCTTCATTCTTCGAAATTGGAGGCCTTGGGCCATAGGATAGTACATTCACTAGTTATGAGGGCTTGGCCGCTCTTACATTATTGGTAAAATTTAACTAAGTGGTGTACATTCCAGTGCCTAGGGACTTCTTTCCCGTTGGGGCGTTTGAGCTTGTAGGTCCCAGGTTTGATGATGGCTGCTATGATGTAAGGGCCTTCGAATTTTGGTGCCAATTTTCCTCCCCCGGTTGGTTGGCTGGCTTCCCTCCTCCGGAGGACATAGTCCCCCACTTGAAATTCTCGGGTGCGAACTTTGGCATCGATGTAGCTTTTAACTTGCCTTCGGTAGTTTTCTGCCCGGATGAAGGCCTGCTCCCGGCGTTCTGAAATGAGGTGGAGGTCGAGGGCCATGTTGCTGTCGTTGACCTCGGGGTCATATTGGATCACCCTTCGGGTGGGAAGGGTGACTTCCGTAGGAGCTTTGGCTTCAAAACCGTAGCAGAGGGAGAAGGGTGTTTCACCTGTTGCTCGCCGAGGGGTGGTGCGATAGGCCCAAAGGATGTTGTGGAGTTCTTCCACCCAGCCACCGCCCTCGGCCTCTAGCTTCTTTTTGAGGCCCTCGAGCAAGGTCCGGTTGGCATTCTCTACTTGCCCGTTGCCTTGAGGGTAGGCAACGGAGGAGAAGGTGTGTTTGATGCCCCATGCCTCCAGAAGGGCACAGAAGGGGGCTGCCTCAAATTGTGTCCCATTGTCGGAGATGATCTGCTGGGGGACGCCAAACCTTGTGAGGATGTTCTTGAGGACGAAGTGACGGCACTTCGCCTCTGTGATGCTGGCGAGGGGTTCAGCCTCCATCCACTTGGTAAAGTAGTCGACGGCCACAATGATGTATCTGTTGTTGGAGGTACCCCTCGGCAGAGGGCCCACAAGGTCTACCCCCCATCGAGAAAAGGGGATAGAGGTGCTGATGGGGGCATAGTTGACCGCTGGCCTGCCGGGGGCTTTCTGGAAATGTTGACATGCGGTGCACCTCCGGGCAAGGTCAGCACAATCTCTGGCCATGGTTGGCCAGAAGTAGCCCTGGAGAATGAGCCTTCGGGACATGGAGAAGGGTCTCTGGTGAGCTGCGCAAGTGCCACTGTGCACTTCCTCCATTGCGACCTCGGCTTCATCTGGATGAAGGCACCGAAGTGGCGTGCCATTGTAAGATCGTTTGTAGAGCCTTCCATCTTCGATGGTGTAGCTAGGAGCCCTCAGCTTTGCCAGTTTAGCGCGGGCCTCATTCTCGGGTAGCTGCCCTGTGGAGATGAAGGCGGTGATATCTGAGATCCAATCCTCTTGACGTTGTTGTATGTTCATAACGGGGCTTGCATGGATGCTTGAGAGGCTGAGTTCCTCGATTTTGGCAATTTTGGAGATGTGCTCGGGGGAGTCGTCCGAGAGCTTAGATAATATGTCGGCCTCGGAGTTCTGAGCCCTCGGTATTTGAGTGAGAGAGTGTGCCTCAAATACCTTAAGCAACTCCTTGGCCGCTTCCTTGTACTGTTTCATTCTCCCCTCCTTGGCCTCATATTCTTCAGAGATTTGGCCGACAACCAACTTGGAGTCGCATTTGATGTGGATCTGTCGAGCCCTCATGTTGGCCGCCAGCCGAAGGCCACATAGGAGGGCCTCATATTCGGCCTCGTTGTTGGATACTTTGAAGGAGAAGCGGATTGCATAGTAGGCTCTGAAGCCCTCGGGAGTAATGAGGACTACCCCTCCCCCGCATGCTTTGGTCGCGGAGGAGCCGTCGGCGTAGAGGGTCCACCAGTCGTCCGAGGTAGCCAAGGGCTCCCCGTCC